AAGAACCCAACGCATAGCTTTTACTGGACCATAAAGTTATTCATTATACTGCAATTTGTGTGAAAAGCATTTGTCATTGAGAACTTGCTATCAAAAGTCCCATCCCAAAAATTCTGACCTTTACATCGCATTTCGTTACGAAATAAAAATTGATTGTACATTCCTGAATCTACTTCCTTGAAACTTATATTACGGATGAAGGTGAATTTCTATTTCATCGTTGCGGCATCTACTCTACAAACTTCCTTATCTAAACCGTCAGAGACGCCAAAATGGTATCCCTGCCCAATGTACTCCGATCCATCCATTGCTGTCGAAAGTACACAAGTACAGTGTGGAAAATTCAAAGCACCTTTATGCTACTCTGACGTATGTTCAGCGCCATCAAGTGTAAACCAGACAATTGAGCTTTTTGTCAAGCTCATTCCAGCAAATGAACCTGAGACAGCTATGAACATTTGGATGCTCGGAGACCAAATCGGGGCAGCCTCTGACTCTAGTAAGTATCTATCGCAACTGAATTTATGTCATAATTACTGACCTTTCGGGTTAAATGTTTGTGTAGTGGAAGCAGCGATGGTTCAATTGACAAATAAACTAAATGGATCTGTGAACATCTACACGATGGACCCTCGTGGTAGTGGGAGAAGTACACGTTTGGATTGTGCAGTGAGAACAAATAATCCTCTTGGATATAAAATGGACCCATCTCAAGTTGCGTCGTGTGCTCAAAAGTTAGAACGCACGTTTGGAAATCTTGCTGCATTTTCGCCGACAAGTGCAGCGCATGACCTCTTTAATTTGATTTCGAAGCTTTCCAATGGAGCCGACACAATTTTGTATGGCACGATATACGGAGCACTATTAGTAGAGCGTGTCATGCATCTCGCCCCTCCTGACGTCACCGGATACGTTCTCGACGGACCAATAAGTACAACGGGGTCATACTATTATCAATCAAATGCGGACCGCGACGCTGGCGAAGTGGCTGACGCTTTTATGGAGCTCTGTGATCAAGATCGCGTCTGCAGCTCCCATTTCAAGGATACACTAGCAGCTACAATTCAAGAAATTATAGACAATTTCGACAATCAAGCTGACTCACCATGCTTCGAGTTGATGGGCTCAATCAAAGTGAATTTGCAAAACGCTTCGGCCTCAAGTTATCTTCGGTTAACAAATTCAATCATGTTATCCACAGTATTGTATACATGGATTCCTCAACTTGTCTATCGACTCAAGCGTTGTCAGCTTCAAGACGTCAAGATATTAAAGAAATTTGTAAAGTTCTTAAACGCATATGACTATAGCGAAAGCCCACTATACTCAATTACGTTGCAAGGTCTGATCAATTACTCAGAGTTCTGGGAAAAACCAACACCTTCGTTGGCAATATTGAAGAAGCGTTTTACGGATTCTACTGCCGGTGAGGGTACGTACGATGAACTTCCTCTATACTGTGCTTTCTCAAAAGAACAATCGAAGGCGTGTGCTAAATATGATTTCGGCAAGTACAAAGCTCAAGGAATCATTTACAAGCGTGATCAATACTGGAATGCAAGTGTTTCTATTCCCAATCAGGCTAGCGTTTTGGTGCTGAGCAGCAAGTTGGACATGGCTGCACCGCACAAGTACACACAACGGCTTCTAGAATCTCTAGATGGCGACAATAAAAAGCTGATCTCCTTCGATTTTGGAAGCGGGGGGACACTGTCTACAACATTTGTTGATTTGAGATCTTTTGAAAAGGACACTTGTGCACTAGAGGTGCTTGCTTCGTACATCCGCAATAATGGTGACTTAGCCAGCCTAGATCAATCGTGTTTGGACAAGATGCCAGAATTCGAAATGATTCTTGAGGACTTCAATGCAGACCACCTCATGACGCTTATCAACACAACAATTTAGATGACATTAACATAATGAATGTACTCATTGTTCACTCTACGTGAATTGTCTCATGATACGGCTGTATTTAAGCTCTTATTAGTCCAGAATGCTTGCTGGGTTTCAACGTGATGAGATAGATAAAAAGCTGGAGCATCGATGTACTAATGTTCTGACCTATAGTGCCACGTTACATCCCACTTCGTGGTACAACTGTTCCAGCTCACTCCTCTTTTAAAACCGGTCTTTACATATACGACAAATGTTTTATGCGCCTTCAGTACGAAGCCATACTAGCTTGATTTACTCTCATATCATTTTGTCTGAAGCACTCAACTAGAGCAAGGATGATATATCTGCCTCATACAAGCAATTAATTCTAATTATCAACTGATCGAGGAATTGACCAAAGCGTAGCTGACTATGCTGTTCTGTATCACAAGAATTTAAGGAGTCGGTGTTTTGGGTACGAATCGCTGTATTTAGTTTATCATGAGCATGTGCAAGTCGCTACTTCACATTATCCTTTCCGGTACGAAAAGCTGGCGCCAAGTCTAGAGTTAAAATTGACCCACCATGCGAGTTGCCTCCGGTTTACAGACTCCTATTTAAAGGTGACTTGGCTCCCGGAATATGATACTGCTTCACATTTACTTACTCGTATCAAGGGAACAGTGTGATATTACATAAGCTACATTTGTATGTAGTGACTACCGCGACATATAGTAGCTCTCAAACTCTACAGACTCTATGGCAAAAGACATCACCTTACACCTGGTATGAATCATCCCATCAGAGATACTTTCTAAGGATCACGACAAACTTTCGTTCTAACCCGAGTTACACTCTGAAAACCACAATATACGATTGCATTTTTTTGTCTCATTCGAAGACCATAATATATAGCAACATAGCACTTCTTTCTAAGTAGTAAACCAATTCCTCATTTTAACGACCTAGTAGAGTTGCTAACTCCTCATCAAATTCCTCACTGCTTTACCTATTTCAAAACATTCGTCGCCACTCCTTTTCGTGTTACACGCTTTTTAGCATTCCCTTTGTTCTCATCTTCTTCAATAATTGAAGGTATTGACTGGAGTGATGAAGCAATTGATGCAATAGAAAGCGAACGTCGATCAAATGTATCGGATTCAGCTTCACTATCGCTTGAAGTATCAGCAAATGTACGTGCTTCAGGTCGTAATTGCCCACGAACCGATTGATGTTGAGTAGACTTTTCAATCATTTCATTATCTTGATCAATCGTATTTTCTTTCTCTTCATCTTGAATTTCATCTTCATCATGAATAGTATCAAGAAAGCGTTTGCGTTTCTTTCGAGCACTTGGTAATGAGCTATCGATTGGAGAATGAAGCTTGAGAAAATGTGTTCCAAACTCCATCGGCTTGATAGGTGACAATGAAGTCTATAAGGAGAAAACAATAATAAACAAAAGTCAGTAGCGAGCGTAAGAAATGAGACAAATCACTTTGATGTACGTTAAGTCTTGAGCTGCGAATTGAAAGTGAATCTGGTGCTTCGGGTTCCTTCCTTCCATCAGAAGTGAAAACTCGATTCGATCGACCGAATTGATAGAGATGCTTTGGTAAGAAGATTTTCCCTGGAAACGGTTTTAAGTCGGATTGAGTCTTAATACGCTTCTTAAGTAACATCGCAGTCATGTCAATAAGTGGATACATTGCAAGATCATTCGGTGCAATCACATCATGATATTGCGAGAGTTTTGTCAACATCTGCAGTAGAAACGCAATATTGTCAGCGGCTGATTTCGGAGAGACTAACCCATCTAGAAAAAATTCTAAATATGCCAATTGATCACTCCATTCAGCGCTTTGAAGTATGGAAACTGATGATGTTTTTTCGACCAAATTAGTTGGAAACGAGGGATGGTGAGCTAGTAGATGAATCACATAAGGTAGAGCATATTCAGGTACAATCACTGCATTTAAATTCGGATCTTGGTCGGGATTCGAATTTTCAGATGCTGCATCAAACATCCGTCGCATGCGTTCAACTGCAATCTTAAGAATATTTCGAGCTTCTTTCTTTAAGCTAAAAGTTGTTTCAGTAGCTACTAAAGCCAAGTAACTGAGATATTTATGTGGATGTCGCACCGAATGTTTCACGACGTGAGATGTCAATTTCTTTAAAAATTGACGACGAACTTCTTCACTTGAATCTTGAATACTGAGACCAAGTAAATGCCATTCCGAGATAGAGAGCAAAGTTTCAAGTTGTGGATTTCGCATCATTTTTAATAGACCACACGATGCTGTCAAACGAAACATCGCAGTTTGAGCACTAGTGACTGCAAATTTACTTCCATTCGAGCGCAATATTTCAACCAAAAGTTTCATAAGCTTTGCTGCTTCTTGAGACGATTCATGAGGGACATACACGGCCAAATTTACCAAAACTTTAAGACCTAAGCATCGAATTTCCGTGGTCTTTGCTGCAGCAAGTCGTTTACTCTTTGGTGTACTACCTTCAGAAATTGAATCAAAAGCTTCATCTCGTTTATTAATCAATTCGTCAAACAATAACGTCCATAAATGAGAAACCAGAGACGGATTTTCGTTAAATTGATAGCTACAATGTTTCGAAAAAACGACCAGACTTTGCAATGCTGCTAACACTCCACCTTGCGATGAAGATCCAACTTTTTCTTTCGAGCATAACTTTTTAAGCACTTGTATTGTAGGTTTTGCTTTGCCGTAAAAATGAGTAAGTGCCACTGCCGCCAACTCTGCTGCTCGTCTTGTTTTCGTAGCATTTAAAGACTGAGCTACATCGCCAAGACAAAACTTCTGAAGTCGCTCAATAAGCACTTTTGATGGTATTCTATTGTCGTCTTTTATGTCACTTGTAGTAGACCAATGCTGTGCATAATTCGCAAGAATCTCCAAAGCTCCAAGTATCACATTGAAATCTTTACCATTTGACTCGTTATTGTCGTCACGAGACTTGTTTTTCACAAGAATATTAGTCACTTGATCGCGAATAAATGGATCAAAGAGTCGCGGCAAATCGTTTGAGACCATCACTAACAATTCGACAGCACTACGTGTCTCTTTCATCGATCGACCATGTTTTCCAGCTAAAAAGTCCAAAAGATAACCAATAGAAACATGATTGACAGTCAATAACGCAAGTTTTCGACATAATTTCTTTAAAAATTCACCTAAAGCCGTTCTCGATCCCACACATCGAACAAGTTCATCTCGTGCAAGACGAATAGCATTTTGCGATTTTTGATTATCACACAACGCACCAAGATGTTTAAACACACTATGATCTTTCCACTTTCCAAGTTTTTC